TATCACTCCAGGTCTCCGAACTGTACAAGAACTTTCCGTCCAACGCATGGTGGTATAGCGGGAGTGTGGACTACAGTATGGACCAGTGGAAGGACCACAAACTAGAAGTCGTCATCTTACCACACTCCCATCACGATCCTGGTAAGTGCACTTCTATTAGCACGTTTAAATTTTCCTTTTGTGCTTACATATATCAGTTTACGGCCTCGATTCAGTCATCTTCCCCCACTCTGACCATAACCCAATATAGTGGAACCCCGATTAACGAGTTTATTCCGTTTCCATACCGGGCAAATTGTGTGTTTAGAACTAGGAATGACCTGTGTGTACTGGTCCCACCATTAACTCTAAAAGGGAAGTGGTAGCAAAAGTTTTCCACTCGTATTGACTTAGGTTAATCAGGGAAGACTCTTGTCGCTGTGATCTTCGGGCCCGGCTCCGTGGGGGGGGGAGTAAGAGATGAAATGGGACGCCGCCAGGTGGGAGGAATATTATATTTGGCAGGACTGATTGTAGGCGCTCCAAAAATCCCGTTGAATTATAATAAACAACTACTGTTACATGTTCAGTAACTTTTTTGCTTAAATTCCACCAACATGTGGACGAATTTCCATTTTCTTAAGAGTTCGCCTGCATAAGGTCGAATTTCCCTGAATTGGCATTCGTTACCTGCGCAACAGAAGTTCATGTTGCTCGAATTTTATTCTATTTTAGCGTATTAAAACAAACACAATCCTATTAAATCTAATATTTTTTATCCATTCCGCCACAATTACGCATTGTTATAAGCTAAAATAGCCGAGAATTAAATGTTTGAACATAAAATACGTCAAGCAGTTGGCCGGGGGATAGATATCTAGGGGGACTCTACAAATCAATTTTGCCGTATATTCTATACAGAGCTAGTAGAGAACAGTTTGGAGGAAGTTGGCAGCCAGGCGAGTACACGCTCTCCTCGAGGGCGGCATCTGAAGTGTGAGATCGCGGCAGTCGTCATATTGAGATTCTGTATGAGTCAGCCTTGAAGGCGATTGGTCAGACTGGACTGCGGCCAGCATA